TAATGAAACCTGGGTGCCATCATGGACCAGTCACTGAAAGTAAACATGCGCATGTAGCCAGCAGTGAAGGAGACAAATGGTTTCTTGGCCATCATAGCAAGAGGATTAGAATACAAGAGCAGGCAAGTTTTGCTATAACTGTAGAGGGCATTGGTAAGACCATATCTGGAGTACTGTGTGCAGCTTTGGTCTTTTATCTCAGGAAGCACTGAGGGAGTGCAAAGATTTACCAGACTGATTCTTGGGGTGGCGGGACTGACATATGGGGAGAGATGGGATCGGTCAGCACGATATTCACCGAAGTTTAGAAGAATGAGAGATGGGCGTCATGAACCACGGTCACATTCTAAGAATATGGGGTAGACCTTTTAGAACAGAGGAGAAATTTCTTCACCCAGATGGTGGTAAGCTTGTGGAGTTCTCTGCCACAGGAAAGTTGAGGCCAAAACATTGAAGATTTTCAAGAATGATGCAAATATAGTTCTTGGGATTTAAAGGCTCAAAGAGTATGAGGAGAAAGCGGTTTCAGAATTGGATGATCAGTCATGATCATATTGAATGGTTGAGCAGACTTGAAGGGCCAAATGGCCCACTCCTGCTCCTATTTTCTACATTTCTAAGTTTTAATTACACAGTGGAGCAGAAAACCAGAAGCAGAGAGGTAAGAAGAAAGTAGAGAAATGGATGATCCGAGGCCCATGGCAGCACTACTTTGCACAATAAATATTGAACAGGTAATAAAATCCATGCATAGCAATATCTAAGTAAAAGAAGTCAAAGACAAGGCATTGACAAGCTGGTGAATAAAGCATTGTCAGCAAATCCTAATGAGTGGGGCCTTTTAGAAAGTCACATCTTACTTTTCTTTGTAGTAAGGAGAATTCCAGATCCATGTTGGCCAGCAAGCGCAAAACTGTATTACCAGCATGTGCAAACTTGTTAAACCAGTTCCATAGCAACAGTTGAGGACGTTTCCAGCCAGTAGAAAAACACATGCTGCAGCAATACGTGCCAATGCAGTTGGATAAGTTGATAAGAATCATTCCATTTTACTAAGTGCCAATTCTCCACAGATACTGTCACATTTATCACACAGTACTGATGTTTGCTGTGGAATGGTAAATAGTTAGAAATAGAAGTGCCTGAAACTAATCCACTGAATTACCAAAATTTAACATCAGTTCTTGACTACATTTTAATCCACATAATCAGTTGGATATTAGGCAGCAATGAAACTTGCTGGCGGTTTTCAATTAATTGGCTTATATCTCATCTATTTTACAACAAAACAAAATCAGTTTAATTATTTATTACGAATACAATTATTTCAAAACACAGAGAATGCTTGAGAAACTCAACTAGTCTGGCAACACCTATGGAGAGAAAGAGAGTTACCATTTTGAATCCAAATCACAATAAAGAAGAATCATACCAGACTCAAAATGTTAACTCTGTTTCTCTCTCCACAGATTCTGCCAGACCTGCTAAGTTTCACCAGAATTGATTTTGTTTCAGATTTTCAGTAACTGCATATTTTGCTTTTAGTACAATCACTTCACTCATTGCTGTGACATTTTCAGCAAAATCTAGTCAGAGAGAACAGCTGGAACAGTTTTAAACAGGGAAATGAATGCTCCAGAGAGAACAACAAAAATCTGGAATAGAGCATGAAATAAAAGAAAGTTCAAGTGCATTTGAAAGCCATGTCACCAATGCTTCAGCTATTTTAAATAACATCACCACAATAGATTAATTGTTCATTTATTCTATCTATTTGTAGGTTCTTACAGTGTGCAAATTGGCTGCTACATTTGCTGCCATAATAGCGACAGCAACTCAAAAGCAATTAATTGAGTCTTCGGGACATCCAAGGATCTGCAATACATATATAAATGAATGGAAGTCCTTTCAATTTTAAAGTGATTGTAGTCTTCAAATTACTTTTTGTTTTCACATACACTGCGTATAGTTATGATACAAGATAAAACTTTGCATCAAGATCTAATCTGCTGCTTGCTTGATTCTGCATAGGTGGTCGTACTCAGTTGGATGACAACTGTTGCCACATCCATCATGATGTCAACGACAAAAAATGGTAAGTCTATAGTTATGAAGATTGAATAAAGTTGAAATGTGAAGTTTTGACTGCTTTTTAGTTGACTAAAGGGAAGGGGGAAAGAGTAACTTAAGAATGTCAACATTCTTAGTGTCAGAAATCACGCGACACCACAACACAAGCTTTCGGAGCCTCATTCCTCCTTCAGGTGTTAGTCTCCGAAAGCTTGTGTTTTCAAATAACCCTGGTGGACTATAACCTGGTGTCGTGTGATTTCTGACCTTGTCTATCCCAACATCAGCACCTCTACATCATAACTTTCTTAATATTAGAGCTGTGGTTAAATTCCATATTAAGCTCAACACAGGAATTATTCTTATTACTAACACAGCACTGTTATTATAGATCAAAATATGTTATGATTTTATACACTACACAGTACATACTTTTGTAATTTAAAAGCTTGACACAAATTTGAAATTTGGACTTTTGCCATACATAATGTAGATGAAACAGAACTTCCAATTCTTCATTCACACGCTCCTTCACTTACAATAATAAGCAAAGTTCCACATTAGAAATAGTTTACCAGAAAAGCCTACCAACTGATCCTAGGTGGACCTTCCCTTTTCCACTTTCTATATAACTCCCATCCATACCATATCTTCCTAAATATAACTTCTTTCAAATTCACATGCTAATTCATTGCATGTTTCTAATTGCAATTATAGCATCTTTCTATTCATTTTCTAATTCTCCTCCATTCACCCCTTCACGGACTTTCATTCTCTCAAATGGTATAATACCATATCTTTTTCACCCCAGCCACACAACATCACTATTCTGTCTCTAATCAATTACTTACTATTTGTTAATTATGTTTCTGCTGGTATTTAAATGCTGATAAACAAATGAACTAAGGCAAATCCTGTCTGAATTAGGACTGCAACAAACAGAGGATTTACAAATGCTCATTTTCTAGTCTAGTTAAACATTCACACTGCAATTCAATCCGAGTAGAACAATACACTGCTTGGCAAATCATATTTTACAGGAAAGTGACTGACTTATCTGAATACCCTACCGAGTAAGAGGTGCAAGCTGGCAGTGAGTTAACTGTACTTAGTCTCAATAACTGGGGAATATTGTGTGCTAGGATCAGGAATTCTATATAGTAAAATCAAATGGGATATAGTTTGATAGTGAAATTCTGTACATGCATAAAAGTCATGTTTTTTTTTCTATCATAATCACAACCACACGATATTCTCACATTTTGCTTACTGTCTAATTTTAAAATAGTTTCCACTTTAGTCACGATTTAGAGGCTGGTAAACTGCTATCCAGAAGTTATGATATATTAATGGATATCACAGCTTTACTATTCTTCTTCTACTTACATCACAGCAATTACATTTCCAATGTTGGGCATTTCTGAAGATTTCAATCTAAGGTAGGCTTTACTCTTTTAGGACTTATTTTATTCACTTCAGGTCATTGCCATTCCCATCTGCATGTAAATGGTCACCAGTAGCTTAAAGTCTTGATCAAACATAAGCTTGGTTTCAGTCATCCCAAATTTTACCTATTACCCCTTGTCTTACTCGCTTCTGCCTCATGACAATCCTTCCCGATGCAGCCCTCGAGTCTTTGGTTGTAATACAGTCAATAAGGAAGGATTATTTGGGCAGAAAATTGCAGCTTACAAAATCTAACAGCAGGATTTGTTTAACACAGTGGCAATAATGACCTGGTGATACAGCTGGATGTAGATGCATTCCTACAATCACCATCTCAGCAGCGCTGTTGTAGAGAAGGGAAAAATTGTCTTGTGCCCTCTTCACTAGATAATCATTTGGAAGAAGGTAAGCCAACGACAGCTTGCATTTTTATCATGAACCAGAACCTCCACAAATGTTTGATCACAAATTTAGGTTTGAAGAAGAATGTTAAAGGAAATAAGAGTAACAGGGAGAGATTTCAAGAGTTCAGAACCTAGGAAGACATGACTGCCAACGGCAACAGGGGAAGGGTGATTTGAATTGAGGGTGCACAACAGGTCAAAATTGAAAGAATCTAAACCTTTCAAATTCATACTGGAACAATTCATTACAAGAAAGTCATTATATATGTTGTCGTTACGGATCTGCGCTTGCCTCATTGGTCAGAAATGATGGCCATCCCATGGAAAATTCCAATATGGAGGAAGATTATGAAACCATCTTAAAGTGTGCTCTTCTCCACTCTCCTCTCCACCGGAGGTGATTCAATTGCTAAATACACACCCTTAATACAGCACTACACCAGATGAATCGTAGTGGTCACACTCTGGTTTGCGCTACAATTAGCACTTCTGGAAAACCATTGAGCAAAAATTAGCCAGCATTCCTGATTTTTATAACTATCCAGACATAAAGTAATTCATGTGAACATCACTGATAAACATGAGCTGAACAGTAATATTCCTTCTCTTCCCAAACTCCTATACCATCACTCTGTAACATGTGAATTAGACAGATAAATGCTTGAGCAAAGTATCAGAGGCCAGTGGAACTGCAATCACCTTAATACAGTAAGTTCAAGGAAGGATCAAATATTCATCTCCCAAAAACAAGAAGTCACCTGCCGCTTGCTGTAGTTTTAAGCAAAAGGACTTGTAGATGCTCATGCCCAAGGGCTGAAAACTGGTGACAGAACAAAAGAAACTGAGAATGTAATGAGGAAGTTATCCTCAAAAGGAACTGGTACACTAAACATTTACACATGGGATTTCCAGGGTTAAAATATGCTAGAGCATGAACACAGTTTTACATTTCTGGTAAAAAGTATCTGATGGCATCACCAAGATTTCAGTAAGTTTGTCTTTTCTAAGTCATACCTGGTAACCAAACCATTAATTCACTCACTTTCAAACAAGATGCAGCACAGCTTTTACTTTACCTACCTCTGGTGTGTTCTTCTTAAATTCTCGGCTTTCATCAATAAGTCGTTTTCTGGACTGTTCACTCTCATCCTGTCGATTGGCCAATACAGTAGCAGTGGCATCAAGTTCTCTCTGTACAAAGACAAAAAAAATCAATGAAATCATGAAATGGAACTGGCACTGGCTTAGGAAGAGATGCTGGGTAGGTTCAACAACTAGGCATATCCTGGAAAAGGAATGCAATTAAGTTACAAAACCACGCAGGCCGTAAAGCCAATCTTGATTTATACTGTGAATTTGCTAATCTCAGCAGGTTGACAGAAGAAACAATGTGTAAATGTTGCCCTATGCTGAGAAAGGGGAAGTCAGCCTGGATTCCCAGTCTAAATCTAAGGGCTTGTGTGAAACGTGTACATTTAAGAACATTGATGAGGGTAGAATAAGCTTTGACCTGATGTACTCACAATCAATAAACTTGCCAAAGCATGCACCTTGGGGTACAGTCCAACATCACGACTGGACATGAGTGATATATCTGTGGATTATCTATGTGTATAGTACCAAGGCCCAGCCCGAGTCTCCACCCTCAGAGAGGATGGTAATAAGTCAGAAAATAATGAAGAAATGCACACAAAATACAGAAGATTAACAAGTACAATAAAAGATGTCACACAATTCTGCTGGCTTTTTTCTACACCTGATGTACAATGCATTTGCATCAGAAAATATTTTAAAGTATTTGGAGAAGCACTTGCTGAAAAATTGTAGAGTGTGTTATATTAAAATAGAGAAGATCTGCATTATTAAAATCTGCAAGGAAGTTTGGAGTACAAGCATTGATTTTCTGGAACTGATCTGCTATTTTAACAGGAACAAGGGAAATAACCTGAAGTTCTAGAACAGTGAAGGATTCCATCCAGTCTTCTGGATGGAACTTGTGATATTAAACAATGTCTGAACCGATCAACCACTGGTAAGCTGACAACAGTAAAGGTCAATTTCTGATCAAAAGGAGAAAACAGAACTGCAGGCAGTGAGAAAAAGTATGTTAGTGAGGAGTTATAAATTGTGGAAATATAAAGAGAATAAAAACCAGAGGAGGAAGTAAAAGGCACTCTTTATGAAAATAGGCTTCTCATGACAAGTGCTTGTTAACTCTGCTCCCGTGGGTCATTACAGTTTGTCCCTCTTTCATACAATATTTATCAATTTATGTTTCCCCATTTTTACTCTAGTTTATTGGCATCACAATATTTGAACACAAATTTCTCAACCTACTAAAATGGATGTAAATACACATTCTCAGGAAAAACATCAGAAGTTGAGAGACAGTGAGTGAAAATAAGACCAGATGGAACTCAGTTTCTGATACTTGAAAGGCACCAAACATTTAACTACTTCAAGAAGAAATCCGCTCCCCTGTGTTAAGAGGCCAAATTAAGTTGAAAATATGCTTATGAATTAAATAACTGGAAGGATCAAATATTTCCTGGTTAAGTATTTCCTAGGTGAAATATTTGAATTTTTAATGATTCTGTAGTTCACAGAGAGGCTCCATAATGCATGTATTTCAAAGCTTTCGAAACCTAAAGCTGGTTCAATAAATCATTCAAAAGCTAGTAACATTTCACATTTTAAGAAACTAAGTAGGATTTTTTGTCAAACTTGATTAGAAGAGTAACTGCCTCTCTTTTTATTGGCAAACAGTCTCTGATGTTTATTGAACTAGGTCATTCAGCCCATCATGTCCACGCCAGGCAACAAAGATCTGACTTCATTAATCCCATTTTCCAACTCTTGGCTCATAGGTCTGGAGGCTATGACAATGCAAGTGAATAACTAAATACTACCTAAACATTACGAGAATTTCTGACTTCACCATCCTTTCAGGCAGCAAATTTCAAATGCCCACCACATTCTGTTTCTCAGCTCTTCTTTTAGCTTTCTAACTGTTACCTTAAACCCTCTGGTTATTGACCCCTCCACTCATGGAAAAAATCCCTTTCTACCCACCCTCTCTATGCCTCTCGTAATATTTCACACCTCTATCAGGTCCCCTCTCAACGTTTTCTGCTCGAAGGAAAAAACAATCCCAGCTTAACCAATCTTTCTTCGTAGCTCAGACCCTCCAGTCCAGGCATCGTCTTGGTAAATCTCTTCTGCACCCTCTCTAGGACAATTACATGTTTCCTATAGTGTGGAAATCAGAACTTGATGCAGTACTCCAGCTGTGGCCTGGTTAACCTGCATTGCTCTTGTTGTCTGGGCCTCAGCTAATAAAGGCAAATTTGTATTGCAAATGCCTTCTTCACCATTTTTCCACCCAATCTACTACATTCAATGTTTTGTGAGTATGCACACCAAGGGCCCTCTGAATCTTCAGTATTTTCCAGGGCTCCAATGATTCATATTGCAATTACTTGTACTGTTTGCACGCTGCACTTCCCAAAATGTATTACACCTGTCATTCGCCGTGTTTTTGTTCTTGCTCCTTTCTTAAATAGTAGATTTTGGATTAAATTTAATGGGCAAAGTGTCACTGGAGTCTTTCCAAGACTCTGGCACCTTGGAAGCATCCTGGAGTCACGGCTACTGCCGCAGAAGTGGCTGGCTACTCTCGTCACTAGCAAACCCCCTGCTGCTACCGGCTTTCCACACTTTTTCCTCCCTTCCCCCAGAGCAGTTGGATCACCACTGTGCCATGGACATTGTCAGCACCATGATTCATACCCTGGCCTTCTTCAGGGTGCTGCCTCTGATAAAAATCAAACATAGAGGATAGGCATTGGCATTCCTTCCATGCACAAGTCCCAGCGCCATTCATATGCTTAGAGGCTAAAAATCCAAAGGAAACCAAAGGTTGGCCATCAGCCCAGACTCCGGTCAATCAAATCAAGTCAGAGATTATGATTTCCAGCTGATTGTTACTTCTTGCAGGTTCTAATTCAACTTGAGATTTCATGAGCTCAGTTTCACAATTTGCCATGCTGAGATCTGAACTCACAAATGGTTGCATAGATGCAGTTAATATGGAGTTTCAGAAACCACTTGTTAAAGTTAGTTGCATAAAATTAGTTGAGGAAATGAAAAAAATTGCAGTATAGATGACAAGGCTAGAAGGCATACAGCCGCAGTATAGCTATGGACCTTTCTTCAGCTGACTGCAGGATGTCCATTTGGACTTATAGAAACAAAGTGGTGGATAACTTTATTTCTGACAATCAATTAAAAGCAATAGCGCACTGTCCAGAGAATCCCAGACAGTGCAAGATGGCAAAAACAGAAAGGATGTCTGCTGTGGCGCAGTCACTGGCAGTTTTTCTGCCAGAATAACATGATTTAAACCCGAATGCAGACACTTGAATACAAAACCCATATATTCCACTGAACTATTTAGGGAGCATCATATTGGCAGTAGTGCCATTTTTGTATGAGACATTAAATCAAGAAACAATCTATCCATCTGTGGCTATAAAAGATCCCACAGCACCATTCAAAAAAAAGGCAAGGATGACATCTTGATCAATTTTTGTCCTTCAACACCATTAAGAAAAAACAGATTATCTGTCAACAGCGTAGTACTTTTGTAGGACAATTGACCACTTCTTGGTACACGTCAATACATACCAGTCCTTTGTGCTGAGTTGCAGCTTCATGATTCTGGAGAATAGCTCAAATGGAGAGAATCAAGTAATGCCTCCACCTCAATTAGCAAATTACATGCAGGATGGGTACTGTCCCCTTTACAAAGTTGAAGATTGGTGTGACTGGTGCAGATACGGCCTTCTTCAGTTGCTTTCAGCAGAGAATACTTCGAGCTTCATTCCTTCCTTTCTGCATGTTTTTTAGCTATTATAGTTCCTGAACTGCTATGGCTCTGCTCCAGTCAGTCACACTGGATAAGATTTTTGGGTTCCAGTTGTGTCAATTATCCCTGCAATAAGTGGAAAGAGTTCTCTCTCTTGTACGCAACAGGTTCAATTTCTTACCTTTTCTGTCAGGTCTTTCTTTAAATTCCTAGAATTTGCCAATTCTTAGGTTATCTATCATTATTTCCTTATCTAATATCGCTTTGTGTGGCTCAGTGTTGCACTGTGTTTGATAGTGCTCCTGTGAAGGGCCATAGAAACATTTTAGAACATAAGAACTAAGAGCAGGAGTAGGCCATCTGACCTTCGAGCCCACTCCGCCATTCAATAAGATCAAGGCTGATCTTTTCATGGCCTCAGCTCCACTTACCCACCCCTCTCACCATAACCCTCAACTCCTTTACTTTTCAAAAAATTATTACTTTTAAAAACATTCAATGAGGAAGCCACAACTACTTCACTGGGCAAGGAATTCCACAATTTCACAACCCTTTGGGTGAAGAAGTTCCTCATCAACTCAGTCCTAAATCTACTCCCCTAATTTTAAGGCTATGCCCTCATGTTCTAGTTTTACCCGCCAGAGGAAACATCCTCCCTGCTTCTATCTTACCTATTCCCTTCATAATCTTATATGTTTCTATAAGATGCCCCCTCATTCTTCTAAATTCTAATAAGTGTAGTCCCAGTCTACTCAGTCTCTCCTCATACGCCAACTCTCTCAACTCCAGAATCAAACTAATAAATCTCCTCTCCACCCCTCCAGTGCCAGTACACCCTCTCTCAAGTAAGGAGTCCAAACCTGCACGGAGCATGGCAGAATAGGCATGGCCTCGCCAGCACCCTATACAGCTGTAACATAACCTCCCTGCTTTTAAACTCAATCCCTCCAGCAATGAAGGACAAAATTCCATTGCCTTCTCAATTACCTGTTGCACCTGCAAACCAACCTTCTGCAATTCATGCACAAGGACACCCAGGTCCCTCTACACAGCAGCATGCTGCAATTTTTTACCGTTCAAATAACGTCCTTTCTACTGATATTCCTACCAAAATTGGTGACTTCACATTTATCAACATGGTACTCCATCTGCCAGACCTTTGCCATTCACTTAAAGTATCTATATCCCTCTGCAAACTTTCAGAGTCCTCTGCACACTTTGGACTACCACACAACTTAGTATCATCCACAAAACTTTGACACAGTACACATGGTCCCCAACTCCAAATTATCTATGGAAATTGAAAACAATTGCGGTCCCAACA